TTTTAACGATTATTCTGTCTCGAGGGAGACGTTTTATGGCCGGTGTGACTTTGTTTTAGTCGCGCACTACGCCAAGAAACAAAAATTACTTGCAATTCCTTTCGATTTAATCGTATGGCTCGATTTTTATATAAATCGCTCCTCCTCTCCGTAAAATAGTTACTTCCTGCACTCTGAAAAAGGTGTCGTAGAATGGTCTAGGTAGAATTCTAAAATTTTAAAAGTTAAAATTTATTACTGTTGTTTGTATTTGTTATCGAATTGTCCGCGGTACGTAGAGTTTACAGCAGCGGCATTCAAGCAATATCTGCAAGCAAGTTTGTATGTGAGGATTACATATTTGTTTGTCTCTAGTTGCTAATCTTTCTTGTCTACCACAATCAATTTTCGTAAGAAGTGTCACACACAGACTTTAAGTCTAGATGAGCGCTGCAGAGAGACCTTCTTGTTAAATTTCACAAATAGTTGAAGTAGAAATTCTGCCTCTGTCACCTGTGTTGATTAAATACAAAATATACACGATATCGCAGTATTTTGCCAGTCATTCATTCATCTCAGCTAATTTTTCGTATCTACGTAATTTTTGCTATGACAGCAGGACCATTTTTTTGAGTGCATAGACAAAGTCGAATCGAATTGAACGCGATTCACGTCGATAGATTATCATTAATGCAGCCGGACATAAGATTCTATCCGTTGCTGGTCGACGTGGCGCGGTGCCACGCATCGTGGCACTCGTATGACACTGTGTGTACGTATACACACACACACACACATATACGTATGTGCGCACATTCCGCGAATGCACGAGTTGCATGTGTGCCGTTGCTGAGCTTTCAAGCGAGCGCGCGTAAGTCGCTCAAATTGGTACGGATTTCCAGCCCAACACCTCGATTGTCCTCGGTAAAGAGTGCTTCGCGGGCATACGTGAATTCACGTCTCGAATACACGCGCGTCGTTGTTGTCCCTTCCTTCTCCTCCGCGCCTCTGGCCTTCTCCTCCTCTTCCTTGTGCCACGACACGCTTCCTCTGCGTCGCTTTTCCCTCAAGTCTCACCTTTTCTCTTTTTCTCGCCTTCGTCGTATGATCGTCTCTTTCTGCCTGTCTCGCGTCCCTTCCTCGTCGATGCCTGCCTTGCTCGCGCGCAAATTTACCACCCTTTCTCTCATCCATTCATCCCTTCGTTACTCGACGTATACATACATATATATATATAT